CAATCCCTTCATCTACACTATTTATATATTTATTATAACATTAAACAAATAAATTATTTTTATATGTTTTCAATCCCTTCATCTACACTATTTATATATTTATTATAACATTAAACAAATAAATTATTTTTATATGTTTTCAATCCCTTCATCTACACTATTTATATATTTATTATAACATTAAACAAATAAATTATTTTTATATGTTTTCAATCCCTTCATCTACACCATTTATATATTTATTATAACATTAAACAAATAAATTATTTTTATATGTTTTCAATCCCTTCATCTATACCATTTATGGGTTGGTTGGTTGTTTCTTGTTAAGCCTATGGGCTATCTGTTCTATACTATGCTCACCACTAGTATCAAAATCCAGTTTTTTTTTGCATTATAAGCCTTCATACTTACAGCTGCACCACAGTAGGGCTGTCATTTATTGAATTCAGAAATTAATAACTATAACGTGTGACAATTTATATAATACTTGTAAACATGAGATAGGAGGCAAAGTTTTATTAAAGTTGTCATTCTAAGATTATGAATTTTCATAAGTTTGTAATTAATTTTTCAGTTAGTGATCAGTTCTGAGCTTATGCAGAAGCATATTTGTAAGAAAATAATTTCATCTTTACAGATCAATATCTGTTTTTCAACAAAATAAATAATTATCTTTTTATTAAGATTTTTAGATACACGTTTGTGTGTGCTAGTTATAAAGACAAATTAATAGATGCTGTAGCCAAGAATGGTATATATAAGTAAATTTCTCAAGTCATAGGTATATAAACTAAACAGTATACATCAGTTAAAACAAATGCATGAATCACATCGCTGTAGGATGAAATACATTTCATATAATTTATTGCAAACTATATTGTTAAACTCAATTTTTGTTGGTTATGCAATATATATAATTGACATGTTTCATTAATGATTTTTGTTTCCAGTATATCCGACTTGGAGAAAGCGTTATTGAGTACTCCAAAAATTTCAGGTTTTATATAATCACTCGCCTCAGAAACCCTCACTACCTGCCTGAAATCTCTGTAAAGGTAAGTCTACTACTGATATGTAGACATAATAACAATCACTCAGAAACCCTCACTACCTGCCTGAAATATCTGTAAAGGTAAGTCTACTACTGATATGTAGACATAATAACAATCACTCAGAAACCCTCACTACCTGCCTGAAATAACTGTAAAGGTAAGTCTACTACTGATATGTAGACATAATAACAATCACTCAGAAACCCTCACTACATGTCTGAAATATCTGTAAAGGTAAGTCTACTACTGATATGTACACAGCAGATGATTCGCACAGAAATGTTCTCTGTCTTTCTAAAATTTATAAAAATTTTACTGTTTTGTACACATAATAAAATCACCCAGATTCTGTCAGTATTTGCCTGATATATCTGTAAGTTGTAAGAAACTATGAGGTAATAACGTATCAATACATAGCTGCTAAATCCAGTACTGGTGCTGATGAGACCTTTCACCCAATACTATATTATAAAACAGTTTTACTGTGTATATTTCCAGGTTACGTTGTTGAACTTTATGATAACTCCATTAGGATTAGAAGACCAGTTACTAGGAATAGTCGCTGCTAAAGAGAAACCAGAGCTGGAAGAGAAGAAGAATCAACTGATTGTAGAATCAGCAGAGAATAACCGACAGTTGAAGGAAATTGAAGATAGAATTTTAAAAGTCTTATCTTCTTCTGAGGTTAGAATGACTTAACTATCGTATAGATAAGTTATTTTCTGTAACGTTAACAATTTAATTTAGAAAATGGTATTACTATCTCACATTAGGGTAGTTGAGATATAACAAACTCTGAATCGGAAATGTTTGAACGTTTAAAAAAATTAACATCAGTTTTCAAAGAAAGGGATCACATTCTTTTACAACAGTTTTATTTGTTGTAAATCTCAGTATAGATTCTGTTATATCTTGAAGAGACATCTATGTAGTAATTTTATATTGATGAAATATGTTTGTATTTACATAGAAGAAACTATTTACTTTCTTGTAAATTTAATAAAGTTTTGGAAAACGTGAAGATTGTTATGTTTACAGTTTACCTTTAAAGTAACTGTCTTTATTGTTAAACTGTGTGATATTTATTTATAGTTTACCTTCAAAGAAACTGTCTTCATTGTTAAACTGTGTGTGATATTTGTTTACAGTTTACCTTTAAAGTAACTGTCTTCATTGTTAAACTGTGTGTGATATTTGTTTATAGTTTACCTTTAAAGTAACTGTCTTCATTGTTAAACTGTGTGATATTTGTTTACAGTTTACCTTTAAAGAAACTGTTTTCATTGTTAAACTGTGTGATATTTGTTTACAGTTTATCTTTAAAGTAACTGTCTTCATTGTTAAACTTGTTTACATCTTTAGTTGAGTCTAACAATCATAACAAAACTGGAGAATTAAGGTAACACTGCCCCTTAAAACTGGGCAAGTTTACATGCTGAGGAAACACTGTTAAACACTTCTTATAACCTTCAAGTTGAGCACAGAACAAAAGTATGATGTCACAATCTCTGAAAGTACACTTTCAGTCATATATAAATAATTAATGCAGCAGAGATAAAAAATGTACATAACATAAACTGTTTTAACACCATAACTTTGATTAGAAATAATAAAAACGTGAAAATTGACACACGTGCTGTTTATGTACATCCTCATTAATTATACATGACATATATGACTGAAAGTGTACTTTCAGAGATTCTGACATCATACTGTTGTTTTGTGCTCAACTTAAAGATTATAAGAAGTATTTAACAATGTTTCCTTAGCATGTAAATTTGCCCAGTTTTAAGGGTCAGTCCTAACGTAAAGATAGGATCCTGTGGAATGGATATCATGGATGAATCACTATGACAACATTGGTTTAGAGCTGTTACATCAAAGTTTGCTGTTGGTGATGTAGAAATTTTAAACTGTATTTAAGAAAAGTTTTCAGCATATTGTCACAAACATTTTTCTTATAAATATAACTTTTGAAACTTTCTATCTTTTAAGGGGAATATCTTAGAAGATGAAACGGCCATAAGAGTTCTTTCTACTTCTAAAGCCCTCTCACAGGAAATCTCAGCAAAACAAGTAAGAAATTTGACTTTATTTACATTTCTTTCATATATGACCTTCCAAAAAACAAAACTAGACGTATATCGTTGCCACTTTAATTGTTCTGACTAGTCTTAGTTTTCATAAATGTTTTTAGTAGTATAAAAAAAATATTCTATGTCCTCTGATTTCTTTTGAGTGACATTGAAGTAAAGTCATTATTGGCTTCTGTATGTCTGTGTCTCGACCTACTTGTATGTCTCTAAAGGCTTGTTATTATGTCTCTTTAATCTATCCAAACTCCAACTGTATATATATTATAATAAGGTTAATTTGATAGTAGAAGGATTTGATTTTGTTTATAAAATATATTGACTGAATAACTGGTGTGTATAGTTACTACAAGGATTCTGTTTAATAAATTGTGTCATATAATAATCCAAGAACTAAGAGTTTTGTTTAATAAATGATGTCAATTGATAATTCAAGGACTCGGTTTTTTTGAATTAACAATGTTTAATAATATAAGAACTTGGTTTTGTTAAACAATGTTGTTGATTGTTAATGCAGTGGCCCAGTTTTGCATAATGAATGATGCTGAATGATTGATAAGTTATGAAACTTAAAAATCATGAAATGAATTTGTGTGAATTATATGTCATATAATAATCCAAGAACTAAGAGTTTTGTTTGATAAATGATGTCAATTGATAATTCAAGGACTCGGTTTTTTTGAATTAACAATGTTTAATAATATAAGAACTTGGTTTTGTTAAACAATGTTGTTGATTGTTAATGCAGTGGCCCAGTTTTGCATAATGAATGATGCTGAATGATTGATAAGTTATGAAACTTAAAAATCATGAAATGAATTTGTGTGAAAATTATTAACTATACCAGTAACTTATGCAGTGTAAAAAATGTAAATAAATGTGACTGATTTTTCTTATGGGGACAATTTTGTAGGCAAGTACCACATATCTCACTCTTCTGTATTTTGTATTTAAAGAATTTTCAAATTGTTCTAAAGTTTAGTTTGGAACATACTGAATCTGGTTGAGATCATGTGTTGTTAGTTTCTCTAGCCATGGACACTGTCTACTGTTTCATGGAATAGTTATATTGTGACTGTCTGGTTGAGATCATGTGTTGTTACTTTCTCTAGCCATCAACACTGTCTACTGTTTCATGGAATAGTTATATTGTGACTGTCTGGCTTAGATCATGTGTTGTTACTTTCTCTGTCTACTGTTTCATGGAATAGTTGTATTAAGTCCTAATTTATCTTCTGCAAAGAGAACTGGTCTACATATTTTGTATGGAGCAGAGATATTTCTGGATTCTTGTAATACACTTTTCTGATTGATAAGTTACAGATAGAAGGGGAACTTTAAACACAGATCTGGAGTTCACAAACAGACTTGTGTCCAATTGATAAGTTACAGATAGAAGGGGAACTTTAAACACAGATCTGGAGTTCACAAACAGACTTGTGTCCAATTGATAAGTTACAGATAGAAGGGGAACTTTAAACACAGATCTGGAGTTCTCAAACAGACTTGTGTCCAATTGATAAGTTACAGATACAAGGATGTGAACTTTAATCACTGTTCCGAAGTTTTCAAATATTTTGATAGAACACGAAGGATTATTAAATCAAAGATACGTGTAGTTGTTCCTTATCTGAACATTATTTTTCTATAAACAGGAAATTGCTGCAGTAACAGAGAAAGAAATTGATGAGACAAGAAATGGCTATCAGCCTGTTGCAGTTCACTCTTCCATCCTGTTCTTCTGTATCTCCGACTTAGGGAATATTGAACCAATGTACCAGTATTCACTAACGTGGTTCCTTAATCTCTATCATCAGGTGACCATCAAACTTTGACTCTTCTCTGTAGTGGAATCTTTAATCAAGAAAATGTGTTCTAATATTCTAAGGGGGGGGGGGCAACTGCCCAGGGGCCCGGGCAAATGAAACCTGGTTATGGCGTAAAGCCCGCAAAT